GCATATCTGGATGGCTCTACCCCTTGGCTATTCATACAATAGAGAGGAGAGATCTGTAGTGTAAAATAAACTTTTCCTACAGGTTGTATCAGCCATATAGATACTCAAATGGACACACTTAGCAAATCTATTTACATTTATTATTAATCAGGAAAATCTCTCAAGTGTTACTTCTTTCAAGAACTCATTTATTCTACTGTTTTGCAGGGCTGCTGAAAATCACAATTGCAGGCAACACACTTCAAGGTTTTTTCTTGCCCATAATGCTTGGTCCTCCATCAACTTTCCCATCTCTTTCTTCAGATCTCCCCTTTTTGATCAAGACTGTGATACCAACTCCTACTCTTCTTTTGCTAAAATCTAAGCCTATTTGAGTTTACCTGGATACATACTTTCCCCTACTTTTCTTCCATCTTTCAAGCTACGGTGGTACAACTGGAGTCAGGACACCATAGACTCAGAAGTGGTGCCTCACTCCTTTTTCACCCCTTGATGTGGCCACAGAGGGATGGTTGAAAACTCCTGAGGAGGCAAAGATTGGAGTTCCGAGAGAGGCCTTAATTTCCCAGAATGAACTATACCAAAGCTAATTCAAAGGTTTTGTAGGAAATGCAAAGAATAGTGAGACCAAACACCCAAGTATGGCCCAGAGAGCTGTGTCCAAAAGTAGGCTTAGGCTTGGTTCTCCAAACCACTTTCATTCATAAAAGTCAACACAATGTGACAAGCAACTCAAGCTTTCTGGAATGCACAGAAGAAAGAATGGGAAACCAACAATTATGGTGGCTAGTTACCCACAGCAAAATTTGTAGTCTTTGCCAATATCTGCATTCTTCTTAATTGCATTCGTGTATAACAGTGTCTTGGTGACCATAGGTGACTAGGAATTTCATTCAGGGTGGGGGAGAGGGATGAATAATCTCCTTCTTCTTCTGGCATACACTTGATTTTTTTGTCATGAAAGAAGGAAAAACCCTTTCCTACTTCCAAACAAAAGTGCTGCTCATGAAAGGACAAACTGACCTGTCCCCTTTGATAAAAAAGCTTTTTAATAGTCCTCCAGAAGTTAGAAACTAGATTTCCACACGGTCCATGGCTTAAACTCTCATGTGGCCAGAATGGAAAGAACGCTGACTACTAGCCTCATAGCAACATATTTGTTTCCAGGTTAGCAACATTTGTTGGCTTATTTAAAAAGCTGCTTGAAATGCAAAATATCACCTGAAACCTATATCAGCTCCTTCCATACTAGAGGCTTAGCTCCCATCTTGAGCATTTTGAAAATACCTGTCACTCCCACCCCATCCTCAATAGAGCAACCATTCACATATTGTTATGTTGTCAAAAAGCAATTCCAAAAAAATGTGAAGTAATATTCCCAAGTCAAAAAATAGTAATCACAAGCTCATTTACTATCAGTTTCATCACCGTCATCATCATCATCATCATTCTGGACAGATGTGCAACTTGAGAATTTGCAACGCTAAGTGCTCTCGAAGTGAAACGTTCATTACCAACCTTCTGGAAACCAAGAATCCATTCAACAGCTTCCCAAATGAGGTGAGCTGAAGACAATATGATACGGTCTGATATATGGTGATTGCCCTGTATGACTTCATAAATAAATGAAAGAGCACTCAAAAACCCAAGATGATCTAAGTGGTAAGTATCTCATGTAAGGCTACTACGCAAATCCATTTTAGCAACAATCTAACTCAGCAATGGGCAGGCACTGTAGTAGTTTGGGGAGGGCCAAGGGTGATAATGGTGATGCCCAGTGGGTGAAGTCAAGCCACACATGTGGGCAGTGTCACAATTTTCTGGGATTTCCTCCCCCTGAACCGAGGAATACTTATTTTTTTAATGTAATGTTTAAGCTTTGCACTACTTTTTGTGGGTATTCTGCCTTGAAATGGCAGAAAACGTATGCCACCGTTTTTTGGAACTGTGGTCAAAGAGGGCTGAAAAAAAGTTGCCTAACTTTAGCCTATATAAAGACTACATTTTAAAATGATGTCATGCCACTGTTGGCCATATATGTTGGCAAACAGCGTAACTGCAACGGGTAATCCATATTCTTGCAAAAGGATGGGGGCCGAGCAGAAAACAAACTCACACAAGAAAAGGAAGTAATTTAGATGTTCTGAAGTTCAGCAAATACTGAAAAGATTTACATCACCCCAATGTTGCAATGATGACTTAATTCTTACAAAAGGAAACCACAGACAACTTTACCCAGAACCTATTTCCAAATTTAAGGCTCATTGCAGGAATATACAAAGCGTTCAGTGCATACACTGAAGGTGTTGGCTTTTCCACAGCACCTTCAGACAAGGGTATCTGACCCTTTTCTACATGTGGGCAATGGTTACATGCACATAAAACCGGGCAAGGCTTTGATCATGTGGAGACACTCCCATATACACACCTGCAGATGCTCTTGCTTCTGGATGCCTGTATAATTGTCACTGAATGATTCAGTGTAATATGATACTTACGATTGGCATCGGAGTATTGTACATTGCCAACAGCCCATTAAGACTGAGGTAGTGGATCAACTGCCCAAATAAATAAAGTTTCTGAATAAGCAGGATGCTTTCCTTCAGTGAGGAACCACCATGACTGAGCTTTAGATTATTAAGAGATAAGGAGCAAAACATTCCAAATCGGCAGCTTTCCATGATCTGTGAACATTATCAAGCCTTCACTGTACACCTTTCACAATGGTCTGTACTCTCACTGCCAACCAGTCCATCTGATGGCTGCAGAAGTAATACAGATTCCAAAAAAATCATGATTTACCCCTCATGTAGCCTATTCCTCTTGCCACGTGGAACACTTAAACCAACTAGGACTCAAAAGCTTAATTTGTCATCCAAGCCAAGGGTCCTGGATTGTTCCTCTTCAAGTCAAGATCACAAACCAGGGACTGTTCTTGGTATATAGTTCTTGACTTGTTCAGCAAAAATAGGGCAGAAGTCACTGGTTGAATGATCTGACTATTATAGCAGCTGAAGGGGAAAATACTTGGGGGGGGGAGCTTTCTCTCTTTCTGTAAATAAAGTATTTTCTAATATGAACTGAGTTCCTGAAACTGGAAGATGAAAAGGAGCAAGATACAGATATGCTACAATTTGCACACATGTGCTATCATACAATATTTATCCTATTGCATGGATAAAAGAGAGATCAAGAATTATGGTGAGATCTTAGTGATTCCCAGATGATTGGCTACAAGCTCCCCCCTCCCCCCCCAATATGAAGCTGCATAAGAATGGGAAAAAAAAGGTTGGGTTGGAACCACAAGCAAACCACCATACTCAATAGCAGTTCAGAAAACACATTCCTAGGCTTGGAACACCCATACATGATTTTCCTAGGTTCTGCATTGTGTGGAAAAGCTCCAGAGATTTTCAGGAAGCTTCTTTACCTTCAGATGCCCTCTTCACATGAAGTTGACAGAATATGGGCTAAATCTTCGGGGATGGTCAACCTTGCTACCCCTCTCTGCACAGTGAGGCAACTAGCAGTAATAGCATCTGAACACAGATAGCCTATTCTTTAAATCTATGTCCAGATCTATGTCCAGATCCATCAGCCTGGCTCTGCTGATGGATCTCAAGATTAAAAACCAAAGACCAAAAACCAAATCTGGCATCTACTCATTCCTGGATAACCTCCATCTCCCCCATCCCCAAAGAGTAAAGTGTAAGGGGAAAAAAGAAACAATTCTTCCCAAGGACTAAGGAAGATGGAGCAAGATGAGGCCTAGTATTCTGTGTGTGTTTTATATCATGTCCAAAATGCTCTTTTCCAAGGCACTTTACTCTGGTTAGAAAGCAACCACTAAGTTCCCATCTTCTGGCAGAATGAATGAGTTTGGAAAGTCCTGGGCTGCAACAGCTAATACGTACAAAATAAGGAAGACTTGTCTCTTTGTGCAAGCAGAACTAAGACCATTCAGTGAAGAAGACATCTACCCAAAGAATTGCCCTCCATACGTATAAAGTACCAAATGTATTTTCAGTTCCAGGTACCAAAATATCTCAGGACATTTTCGAGGAGCTTTTGAGGCCAATGGTCCAACAACTCCCTATAGAAGACAGACATAGAATAACACCCTTCTTTCTCTACCTCCCAGTACCCTTTTCCATGTCATCCTAAATCTCCAGCCACTAAAGGCTTGGGGTGATGGGAGTTGTAGTCCAATATCTGGAGCTAGCTCCTCTACAGGAACCTTCTCACAGGTGCAACATAGCTGGATTTCTTGTTTACATCTCATTTCCCTAAGGCAGGCAGGAGCTGGGGACACCCGTACCTTCTCTACCTCTGAAAAAGGTCAAAGCACGTCTCCGACCTTAAATATTAATCCCCAGTCTCAAACAGAAAGAGCTTAGTGCGGAGGAAGAGAGCGCCGCACTCTGAACACGGCCAGAAAGACTCGGTTCTCCCAGACCGGGACAACCTGAACTCCCAACAAGAAAGGGCTCTGGAGCAAAATCCGGGCTCTTTCGGCAAACGCTGCCAAAGAGAGTTTGCTGCTGTAAAGGCAGCCATCCTTTAGCTGCAATTCTGGAGCGCGGGGGGGGGGG